GTCAAATAGTGAGTACCATTCTTTTTACCATGAGCAACTATCATTGCTCCCTTTGAAATCTTCCAATTATCACCTTGAAAGATTATAGTGTAACCTTCACGAGCCAACTGCCCAACTGAGATCAAGTTCTTTCTTAGGTCGGGAACATGTTTGACATCCTTCAGCTCCCAAGCTGACCCATTTAACTTAATTTTGACATTACCTTGACCAACAATATCACAAGGTTGGTCATCACCAAGGTATACCTGTCAAAGGTTTCTATGGACATACTTCTCAAAAAAGTTTTTATTAGAAGTAGCATGGAACGATGCTCCAGAGTCTAATACCCAAGACTCTTCTTTGCTCTCCAATGAGCATATCAACGCATCATCACCTTCTTTGGTAGAAGTGACATTTGCCTCTGCCTTCACTTCTTTGCCTTTTGGTGTTCCCTTGCACTGATTTTTATAGTGCCCAATTTTTCCACAATTCCAACACTCCACAGTCTTTGAGTTTTGGAAATTATTTGGATTCCTGGATTTTGACCTCCTATCTCTGGATTGTCCTCGATAGTTTGATCTTCCGCGTTCATTCCTTCTGATTAAATTTCTTCCTCTTGACTCTGTATGCAATACTGAAGAGGATGAAGATTCACCTGATTCTCTTCGTCGAATCTCCTCACTAAGAACCAGATCACGAACGTCATCAAACTTCAACTTGTTATTTCCCGATGAGCTACTCACAGCTGTGACTGTAGCATTCCAACTATCTGGCAGGGAAGATAAAAGTATTAACGCTAATACTTCATCATCAAATTTGATTTCAACAGAACTCAATTGGGTTGTGACAAAATTGAGTTCATTAAGGTGTTGAGCTACCGATCCACCTTCCGACATCCTCAGACTAAACAACCGCCTCATCAAATGAACTTTATTGGAGGCTGATGGCTTCTCATACATATTAGAGAGAGCTTTCATGAGACCTGCCGTTGTGGTTTCCTTTGCAATGTTAAACGCCACATTGCGTGATAACGTCAATCGAATAACTCCGAGTGCTTGTCTATCTAAAAGCTTCCATTCTGCTTCTTGCATGCCATCTGGCTTTTTCTCTTCCAGAGGTTGATAGAGTTTTTTCTGGTATAAATAATCTTCAATCTGCATTTTCCAAAATCCGAAATCTTTACCATCGAATTTTTCAAGTTTAACTTCTCCTTTGTCTGCAGCCATTTCTCCCACTCAAATTTGACTTTTTCTTTTAGGATCGTTTTTATTTTTATCGTAATGTGAACTAATTGTCAACCAAGCTCTTGATACCAATTGTTAAGAAAATAATGCAAATTTTCTATTTAATCAAATTTGAGGGAGAAATAAATTACATAAACAAAATGTCTATTTATACCAAAGTGCAAAAAACACAACCCCTCTTTTCTCTGAGTTATTTTTCTTCTCTCAGATTTTCTCTTGAAAATTATTACATACAAATGAAGGAAATGATCAATTTATAGTTTTCCTAAAACAACCTAAGTCATTTAAAATTTAGCCTGCAATATTTATTACCATTAGTTATTTTTCCCTATATTTGGAAACACCTTTAATTTTCAATGGTAATGCATGGTTATTTAATAACCATTTATTTTTTTTTTCTTTATGTTTCTTAATTATCTGCCAACACTAATGTATTGGTAAAGTGCTAAACTATACTTGTATAAGTTGTATCATTTCATTAATTTTTTCAAATTTCCTCAATGACAATCCGGGTGAAATGAGTCCAAAACCTTATCGGACGAATCTGACCATTGAGAAAACAACTCATCAGCAAACAAAATAAAGACAATCTTGTTATGGGTGTGGTATTTACCCTTATTATGTACTCTCTCCGTCCCTAAATTACATTCCTCTTTCTCTCAATTATGTGAGGAATTAATGCTAGAAAGAGGAATGTAATTTAGGGACGGAGGGAGTAAATATTTTTTTTTTGTTTTGTGAAAGAGCTTGTTACGTAACTTTTGCTATCTCGATCTTATCATTTTTTATTTTTTGGATGTTTCTATTGTGGTCCACTTTATTTGGACTACCACTATACTTAATTATCATTGGTCGATTTTTTATTTTTTTTAAAGCTTGGTCAAACCTTAATTTTATTATTTTCCTTTTTTATTTTCCAATATATGATTACTAAATTTCTGAAAATTATTTTATAATTTTTGAAATTTATTTGTTAAAATTAGTTTTAAATTAAATAAAAAAAAACATTAAATTTTAAAACTCAAAATCAAAAAATTGTTCATGAATGTTCATCATTATTCATCATTGTTCTTCAAGAAGTTTGTTCATTCATGGATGAGACTACCATTATAGTAATCTTTGTCCCGTAAATACACTCGCACATCAATGAAAATTGAAAATATGCATCGATTTACATATTATGTGTGAAAAGTTCATTCGAAATTTGGATTCATGTGTGAATCTGGGATTGTTTTTAATCCTAAAACAATGTACAAAGTATGTTAATTGGATAATCGCAAACAAGGGATGTAAAATCGATCATTATATGTATGCGAAAATAAAAAATAAAAAAATTAACAATTTTTTGAAAACTGGGTTTGTGAGTAAATTGGAGAAGACAACTATTTTTGTTTTGGAATATTTGTTTGATCGGAAAAAAAAAAAAAAGATATAGTTTTCAATTTTGTTTGCATATAAGGCATTAACCCAAATGTTAATAGGACATTGCCTATAAAACGCAATATTATTGTTTATTTGGTCAAAATCATACGTTATTTTGGATATAGTTTTCAATCCTCATTCACTAGCCAAGTCACAATGTACATATACCAAGTTTGATATCAATGATCACTTATATATCAGCTATTGTGGTTTGATTTCCGTATACATATTCCTCAAAATTAAATTAACACTGAATCAAACCACCTTTAGAGTTATTCTAATGGCAACCTAATTGTCAAATTAGATGATTATCTTCTAATCTATCGTGTGACCCAATGGTTGAATTACTTGGATACTAGTTTGTTATTAATTAAAACAATGAACCATCTTTGATCATTATTATAATTTTACAATAATTAAGGAGATTAAGACCAATTCTAAATATATAAGTAATGTCATATCCTAATATTGGACGAATCTCATATAATAAATTTAATTGTTTTTTGATTTAATTGTTTTTTTTAATTTAATCGTTTTTTGATTTTTTTAATTTAATCGTTTTTTGATTTAATTGTTTTTTTCATTGATTAAAATCTGATTTTAATAAATAAATTTCGAAAATGAATTAAAATGATTTTTGTAAATTCAGTAATTAAAATTTGGAAAATAAAAAATGAATTAAAAAAGAAAAATATCAAAATTAAGGTTTGACCAAGGTAAAAAAATAAATAAATAATCGGCCAATGATAATTAAGTATAGTGGTGGTCCAAATAAAGGGGACCGTAGTAGAATTTTCCATTTTTTTTTATTTTGTAGTCATATGGCCATTTTTGTGATTTAATTTCTTCCTTAATCTTTATACCCAAATAACCCAATCCAAATGGTGCAATTAGTAATAAAAACGGAGGAAGCAATAAAATTAGCAATTGGTCTTGTATGGACCCGGTCTACAATAAATTATTGTAGACCCAAAATTTAACACTTTCAAATAATATAATCACATTTTGGATGACATAATCACTTTTTTAGATGATATAATTATCTTTTTGTAAGTCATATTTTGAATTATATAATGTCGTATTAAACCATTTAATGAGATTATATAATTATCTTTAGGATGATAAAATTTAAAAATCATCTTTTTTTAATGATGTAACTTACTATTTGATACTTATTATAATGTTAAATTCACTTTTTGAGTGATACATTTACATAACAATTTCAGGATGATATAATCACTTTTGTAGTAATATAATCACATTTTGTATGATATAATCACATTCGTATGGTATACTAGAAGGTTGGGTCTACAATAAGTTATTGTAGACCGGGTCTATTCTAGTCTTTATATAAAACCAGATACCTTATGCTCAAAATCCCTAAAATTTTGGGTTTGGTTAGAACTTAGAGGCATTTGAAGATCATTTAAAAAAGTACTACGTAAGTATATTGGTTGGGAGTTGTTTGGGATTTAAAAACTTTTTTATAAACCTCATATGGTAAGCTTTTTGAAAGTAATGACATTAAAAGGACCATAAGACAGTGCTTGTCTTGTAAAAACCCCAAATTTAAATCATTTTACTTTTTGTTCATTCAATCATTTCATTTAGCTATCACAAAACAATGGCTAGCTGTTCTGAATTTTTCAATTTTATAGAGTATAATGAGAGGTGTTGGCAGACACTAAGGATCAGATGTTACTAGAACTTCTACAGAATTAAACGCAAATACTAACAAATTCTCGCAACAGTTTGCATAACTTTTCGTAATCTCATGTCCACCAGATTGACAAAATCATTTTGTGGCGCTGTTACATTGCAAATTCTGTTGTAGGCAAGACAAAGGGTGCTATAACACCTCCATCAACTACCAACTTAAACCACTACAAATAAGCATTAATGATTAAATACGAAAATGAAGATTACAGGTATCTGTAATGTGTCCAAATGAAATCATAGCAAAAGAAACCAACAGTACATCTATACAAAAAAAGTACTACCTCCGTTACAGGTTATGTGCAACGATTTGACATAAAGTAGAGAGGAAAAATGTCTAATCGTTGCACATAATATGTAACGGAGGTAGTAACAAATATAGCAGTGCTAGGCATTCCTTCAAAGAATATAAAATCACACCAAAGAATAAGGCTAAATTGTTATTGCACGGTGTTTACATAATGAAACTCTTACACAAGTCCTAAGATCACATAACACAATATTCCGAGGAATGGAAGCACTACAAATGTACAATAACAGTCTGTATATCTTTCTATCTCTAATTGATTTACACTGAAAATTTTTAAGTGACAAGCAACTTGTAAGTTGATAGAAGTCATGCTTATATACCTGTGATTTTCAATCATCATATCGCAATTGGATCCTCTCCAAAGTCTCAAAGCTCTCGACATAAGCATCTGCACAACAAACTCGATAACCATAAACTCTTCTTATAGTCCTTATCTGTCGGCTAATAATGTCATAAGACATCAGACTCATTGGACCATATTTCCAAGACAGCACAAAAAATACACCAGAATATTCATCATTAGTAATCCTTGCATACTTGTTCCTTTTAAAGAACTCGAATGCATCTAAACTCGAACCACCTCTAAAGCACCGAACCCATGGTCTCTCAGGCGCAACCTCTCCAACATCCTCCCTCATAATCCACATATTGCTACTCTCAGCAGAAATCCCGAATACTGCCAACGATTTTTCGAAATCAAACATACACTTGAACATCTTTCTCCCAGGCAATGGCAAACATCTAAATTCCTCTACACCAAAATCAAAGGATGAAAAATGTGTGTGTTCGAGCCCGCCTTCATACAAAACTGTATCTCGCCCTCCCCTTATCCAATGTACACCCCCTTGACAGAAATGACGGTGGTGCAATAACACAGTGTATCGCGAAATAGGATTATCCACAACATGAACATTCTTCATCTTCCAACGATCTTCATTTAATGAATAAACCGCGATTTTATACAAGTTAGCATTTACTCTATCATTTCCTCCAAATGCAATCACCTTGTAATCATTACTAGAAGAATCAAACCCCAGAGCAAAGTTGTCGATACCGTGGCCGAGCTGCTCAGGAAGTGTACAAGGACAAAGCGTCCGAACTTTTCGAACAGAGGGATTCAATAACATCAACACTGGATACATTGTATTCTTAATTTTTGGATCACGTATTTGTTGGTACAAAATCAAACCATTAAAGATATCATGAATCTTGCAATTTTCTGTTAAAAAGGCAATTAGTTTAACTCTATCGAATGTAAATTGATTAACGACTTCGAATTCTAGTTCAGTCATTCCATCATCTTGTGTAACTGCATGAATTAACAGTAACTGATTCTTGGTAGAATTCTTGTTGAATAATTCAAAGTGTTGTGAAGTGAAAGCAGGGGAATCGATGATTGAACACCAAGATTTACAGACGGCGCGAAATCGAAGAAGGGTTAACACCGGCAGCTTTAGAAAGATTTCTGTCAATAAATCTTCACATAAATGCATGATTTCAGTAGAGAATTTGAACTTGGAAGAAAAGGTTTGTTGGGAAGATCAGAGAAAATGAGTGATTTCTTGAGTTGTAGAATAAATGATTGAATAATTTTCTTTGTTTTCAGTTTTGGGTTAATGGAAATGAGTAAGTGTTTGTGGGGTTTTTATAGGAGAAGCTCAAAATGTAAAAGGACGGGAGAATTAACTACCAACTAACTGAAACAGAATTGATGGAAATTAACTACTCATACTCCAATAACACTTTTTATATTGGTAAAATAAAAGGAAATAAACAAATAAATAAATAAAAAATAAAAAGGTAATTTTGGGACTTTCATAGTTAATTAAAAGAGTTTTTTAGGTTAAAAAAAAGGCTCATATGAGGATTTTATAAAATATTGACAGTTAAGAGTATAACAAGTCAAAGTTCCACACATCCCTACCTTATAAAAAGTAGAAACATACTCTTATGAATAGTGTAATGTCAATTATACCCTTCAAAATGTGTATTACATACATACCCTCATTAATATGTAGATGCTATTTTAAGGAATAGTGTTTAGACAACTATACCCTCTAAAATATTTATGTACTTTTATGCTTTCATAAATGTTAGTTGTCTTGAACATTTATACCACCTAAATATAGCTGATTGCATATTTTCTCTTATTGTTTTTTTAGGAAAAATTTCTCTTATTGTTAATTTAACTAATTTTGCGATTTAAAAGTCAAACCAAAAAAACCTTCAAAATATGGCTAGGTATGACGCGCGCATCGCGCGCGTTAGCTGCCCTAATATAAATAATAGGTCTTGTTAGTTCCCCATGTCTGATAGACCATTTTAATGAATCATTTTACATCAAGAGAAACAAATGACTGGCAAAAAAAAAGTAAAAAAAAATAAAAAATAAATAAAAAATTAAAAAAATAAAAATAAAAATAAAAATTGGCAAGTTGTTTTGAGAAATCACAATTTAATAGATACCTCGTCAAATAAATAATACAGTACTAGTGACTGAAATCATGTAGTCAAAAGACTCAGAACTGCATACTGTACCACCTGATTGTTGGTGTATTGCTTCAAATTAGTCAAATAAATTAGTTATAGTTTGTAGTTGTGGGTTTAAACGTGGCTAGAAATTAGGAGTTAATGATTAGTATTGTTGGATTGTATCCGTTAGTGGAGTATAGTTAGGCATTTTGTGAATCATGTGATCATGCTCCCCTTATATAGCTTTAGGTTGTTATTTTCATTGGCTATACATAATGCCTTGTATTACCGTTAATTAGAGTAGAGAAATCAATGCAATTAATAAAATATTTATCTCTCATATCTCCCTTTAGTTTCAACATGGTATCAAGAGCTTCAGGTTAGATCTGGGGAAAAGGGAAGGGAAAGTGATGAAAAAGAGAGAGAGAGAGAGAGAGAGAGAGAGAGAGAGAGTATTAAAAAAAATATCGAGTAAGGAGTCAATTAACGCAGTTTGATCTCATTGTTTGAGAGCAATATTTTTGTTTTTCCGAGTTAAATATTTTTTGTGAATCTTTTTTTGTGTGTTTAACCATGGAAGTAATGGTTAGCGTGGTGTGTTGATGGTTCCTTTTTAGCCCATGAAAAGGGATTTTTTCCTGTGAAAAAGAGGGCAAAAATTGTTTAAGGTAAAGATCACATTATCTTTACGGGTGTGGAAGCCGTAATCAACGCAGAGACGGTTTCCAAGCAGATAACACCAAATATTTTTAGCATGATGCAAGGTGACATGGTCAATTGGAGAATAATGTCAAAAGAGTTAATGGAGAGATGTGCTCCGTTGAATGTAAGTTGGTGATAATGTACATCAACAAGATCGAGAAATTGATGAGAAGTGCATCAATAAAAAATGTCGAGCTTTGGTTGTGCGGAGAGAAGTGCTCCGAGAATATCGTGTTGGTGATAATGTGCATCAACAAATTATGTGTAGGTGATGAGATGTGCATCACAAATATTAAAACGTCTAGCAAGATGTTATGAAATTTGAAGAGGAAGATTGCAAGCTCTTCTAAAGTTGAGTCAAGTATGCGGTTACGGGTCGTATTGAGATTAAAGTGTCGAGTTAAAGTCGTGAGTTCATTGTCGTGTTCAAGTTGTGATTGCGTGTTGGTGGTCGTGGTTCCGTAACAAAGTCAATTATTGAAGTAGTTTACGTTGTAGTACAATGCATGATGCATGCTCTTTGAAGCAAGGGGGTGTGTTGGTGTATTGCTTCAAATTAGTCAAATAAATTAGTTATAGTTTGCAGTTGTGGGTTTAAAGGTGGCTAGAAATTAGGAGTTAATGATTAGTATTGTTGGGTTGTATCTGTTAGTGGAGTATAGTTAGGCATTTTGTGAATCATGTGATCATGCTCCCCTTATATAACTATAGGTTGTTATTTTCATTGGCTATACATAATGCCTTGTATTACCGTTAATTAGAGTAGAGAAATCAATGCAATTAATAAAATATTTATCTCTCATCTCTCCCTTTAGTTTCTTAACACTGATTTCATGAAAACTCAAAAAAGTTGGAAAATATATTTTTTGACTAGTGCATTTTTATCTAGTCATAAATTAAAAAATTATGTTCCTGTGTTAACCATAATAGATAACTTATTTGATAGATGTCGTAGCAGTTTCGTGTGAGTAAGATATGTAGCCACTGCCCACTAGCCTGTTCTAATAATACTGTTACGAGTAATTCAAAATTCAGTTCGTTGAGTTTAAGAATAATTCAAAATTCAGGGAAAAAAAATAAAAAAATAAATAAAAATAAAAAAGGTCTTTGTTTCTTATACTGTATATCATCTTGCAACATTATTGGTGATACTCATGCTCACACTGCTGCTGCTGCTTTCAGCTCATCAAGTAATCATCAGCTCAAGTCACAGCTGGCTAAGGAACTTTCTACAATGCTCTTATCAAGTGTTCCGGAATCACCTAGATAGTTCTAGAATCTTCTCTAGTTTGTTACGAGCTATTGTCCAGCTCAGCATTCTGTTACAACAGAATGCCAGGTCAGAATTCCGTTGTATTATAGCTAATATTATTTGCTGTAATAATTTTGTATACTTAGCTATAAATTGTCTTAGAGGCTAGAGCTGTAATTTTCTTCATTCATTCAATAATAGAAATTCTTTCCCAAACTTCTCTCTCTAAAATCTCTCTGAATTCTCTCTAGAATTCAGTTAGAAAACTGAGTTAGTTGAAGAAATTCTGCTGAATTTGCAGAATTCAACAAGGGGTATCAGATTCATTGTAACAGCAATAGACGAGGAATATACACAATCATCAAATGATGACTAGGTGAAGGAAATTAACCAAAAAGAAACCTACTATACTGCTAAATTGCTAATTCTTAGTTTGGACAGTGATTTAATTGTGTGTGCAGATCAATTGTGAAGTTTGGGTAAGAGTGACAAAAGACAGAGGTTTTGGTAGACATTTTAGATTCTAGAAGATCTTCTATATACAAATACTACACATTTTCAAAAGTTTCAATACTTTCAAAGTCTGTATGAAAATTTGCATAAATTTTCGTAAATAATGCAGGAATCAAATACGAATCTCATGCCAGTTAGCTTAACTAAAACATTTTGTGACGCTGTCATAGCAATAGAAACCAACAGTACATCTATAATAAAGCACGAGACATAGCAGTGCTAGTCGTTCCTTAATAAAACCGCTATCATGCTAAGAAAATAGGCTAAACTAAATTGTTTTTGCCAGCTACTTTATTACACAATGAATCTAGAAAAAGAACGAAACATCAAAATAGCTAACACAATGAAATTTTTCTACACAAGCCACTAATTCACCTAACGCCACATTCTGATGAATGGAAGCAGTACAATAATTGTCCTAATATCACAACAAAAGAGATAATGTTCTAAGACATAATTTGCTGTCTAATTGATTTGCTCTGAAAATTATAAGAGATCGACAAACTTTCTGTACCTCAGTACCTGTAAACTCTACTCAATGCCTATTCATCCATTGAATTCCTTAGAAAGTCACCAAGCTCTCAACATAAGAATCTGCACAACATGTTCGATTACCAACAACAGTTACGAAAGCCATTATCCGTTGGCTAGTAATGTTATAAGACATCAGTTTCGTTTCAGAATTAGTCGAAACCACCACGAAAAATTCACCAGTGTACTCATCATAAGTAATCCTTGCAAACTTGTACTCTTTAAAGAAGTTATATGCATCTAAACTCGAACCTCCTTCAAAGCACAGGATCCATTGTTTCTCGCCAACAACCTCTCCAACATCCTCTCCCATAATCCATATCCTGCTACTCTCAGCAGAAATACCGAAAACTGCTAAAGATTTCCCAAAAACAAACAGACACTTGAACATCTCCATACCAGGCAATTCAACACATCGAAATTCCTCAATCCCAAAATCAAAGGACAGAACATGGGTGTATTCAAATCCGCCATCATTTCGAGCCCCATCACTCACTATCCAATGTGCAGCCCCTTGACAGAAATGATGCTGATGCTGTAGTACAGCAAAATACGAAAATGGCTCATTTACCTCAACTGTCTTGATCTTCCAAAGCCGATTAATACCCGAATAAACAGCGATCTCAGACGACAACTTTTTAACAGAAACACCATCATTTCTTCGAAATCCAATCACCTTGTAATCTTTACTAGAAGGATCAAACCCCAGAACCAATTTGTCGTCGCCTTGGCCGAGCAGCCGAGGAAGTGGCCTAGGAGGATCAGGAAGTCTCCAAGATTTTCCAACAGAGGGATTCCATATCTTCAACGACGTATAAATTGTAGCATCATAATCTTGGTACAAAAACAAACCATCAAAAACATCCCAAATCTTGCACTTTTCTGATACTTTAGTAATCTGACGAATTTCCTCAAATGTGAGTTTATTAACAACTCTGATTACTTTTCCTGAGTATTTTAATCGTAAAGGTCCAGTTCTTTCAACTAACAGTAACTGATTCTTGTCAGAATTCTTCTTGAACTGTTCACAGTGTTCTGTAATGAAATCAGGGGAATCGATAATTGAACGCCAAGATTTGCAGACGTCTCGTACTCGTACCAGTGTTTTCACCGGAAGCTTCAGAAATACCTCCGCCCATAAGTCTGGATTTAACTTCATGTCTTCCGGCCACGCGACGTGGTGTCGAGTTTTGGTGTTCCCGCTTTGAAGTATAACCAGAGAGTTTGAAGCAGCTCTCATGGTGTTGTTAAGAGTAAGAAAAATGAGGGATTGATTGAGTAGTGGAGTGTTTGGACAGTGTAATTAAGTCAATTTCTTTGTTTGAGTTTTGATGATTTGAGGGGGTTTTTTTTTTTATAGAAGTACCAAATGTGAAGAGGCGGGAAAACTAACTACCAAGTACGCAAATATCAACGAACTGAAACAGAACCCCCTAAGAACAACATTCCTTTTTGGCTAACTTTTTTTTTTTTTAAGTTTTTTTTGTTAATCAGTCAAACTTTATTTTTAGGAAAATTTGCGAGGAAGGTCCTTTTATGAGGTCGACCTTGTGTGGAAGGTCTTTTTATGAAAAAGGTGGCACGAAAGGTCCTTATATGAACATTGGGTTGCGAGGAGGGTCCTTTGACCAAATTCCGACGTTGACCAATTTTTTCCAGCCAAAAATTAAGCTTTTTTTTTTCCTCTTTTCCCTTAATTTCCCTTTCCCCCTTTAAATTAAGCTTGAAAACAACAATTAGAATTAGAATTATGGTTGTTATAGTGATTAATTTCACCAGAACCACCAATCTAATTAAAGAACCACCGATCCAGACTAACCAACCACCCTATATCTACCCATAACCACCCATACTCACTGAGAACCGTCCACCAACGAAAACCACCCATTAAAACCCACACCTCGAACATCCACCCCACTAGAACCCAAACCCACGACCCCCACGAACACCCACCCACCAATAACCGGCGAAAATTAAAGAACGAAGAAGACGATGGGGAAAAGTTCAAGCAACAACACTAAGGTGAGGAGGAAAGAAGAGCACGCAGCACCGGCTATGGTTGAATGTCTTTGATTGGCCTTCAATTGTAATTTCAGGGATAAGAATTGAAGATTTGGGATTAATTTTGCTCTAAAATTAGGGTTTCATAAGGGAGAAAGGGGGGATAGATGGAACATCGTGAGAAAAAAGGAAAAAAAATTTTGTAAAAAAGGGAACTTAAGGGGTCACGTGATTTGCACTTGATTTTAAATGGCCGGAAAATTGTGGTCAACGCCGGAGAACGGTCAAAGGACCCTCCTCGCAACCCAATGTTCATATAAGGACCTTTCGTGCCATTTTTTTCATAAAAGGACCTTCCACACAAGGCCGACCTCATAAAAGGAGCATCCTCGCAAATTTTCCTTATTTTTATTACTACTTATGTTCTTTTTTTTTCCTTTTTTTTTTAATTTTTAATCATAAACTGCAATCATCAATATCAATTAATATAATATCATATCATATAATAATCATGTCATATAACATCATATCATATAACTAATATATAAAACTAAACTTTTAGCCAGGCGACAACACAACGACACTTGGCTCGCCAAGTGTCGTGCCACGTAGGATAGTGTTATATAGAATTTAATTTGTAGGATAAAAAAAAGGTAGTTTAGGATTTTATTTTCAATCAAATTTGGATAGAATTTTAGGATAAAATTGTTAAAATTGAATTATAATTTTTTATAAAAAAAAAATAGATTATAACTCTCATAAATTATCATATAAAATTTATTTTTTGTATCATAATATTTTTTTGGAGCGAAGAAATTAGTTCAAAATGTACCACATCCATGGTTTATAATATATTCTAATAAATTAAAATAATATACTTCCTAATCTAATATAATTTTATTACTGTGTGTAGACTTGTCAATCAGGTCGGGTCACGAGTCATTTCAGACAAGGTTAAAAAAAAAATTTCACCAATATGATTATTATTTGTCATTACATGTCTACAAGTTTAAATCGTCACAAAAACACGTCAATTCCTAACTAATTTTGTATCAATGATATGTTTTAAAATTTGACATATAGATTAAAACATATCTTCAAATTTAATAAACAACCCGGACATCGCACGGGCACAAAACTATTAACATATATATTAAGCTAAACTTTTAGCCAGGTGACGAAACATCGACACTTGGCGTTCCAATTTTTTGCCAAGTGTCATGCCACGTGGGATAGAGTTATATAGAATTTAATTTGTAGGATAAAAAAGTTAATTTAGAATTTTATTTTCAATCAAATTTGGATAAAATCTTAGAATAAAATTGTTAATTTAGAGTTTTATCTTTGATAAAGTACCAATATTTCATATGTACAAATTGAATTATAATTTTATTCAAAAATAATTAGATTATAACTCTCATAAATTATCATATAAATTTATTTTTTGTATCATAATATTTTTTTTGGAGCGAAGGAATTAGTTCAAAATGTACCACATCCATGGTTTATAATATATTCTAATCAATTAAAATAATATACTTCACAATCTAATATAATTTTATTACTGTGTATAGACCTGTCAATCAGGTCGGGTCACGAGTCATTTCAGACAGGGTCAAGAAATGTTTTCCACCAATATTGTTATTATTATTCATTACATGTCTACACAAGTTTAAATCGTCACAAAACACGTTGTTTTGGGTGTTTTTGTCCCATGGGAGACTTACGTCACAAAGACTGGTCCGGCTCGAGCTGTACTTGCAAAAACAAGGAGACTCCGGTTGTAAGAGCTTCGCCTCCGACGATCAAGTTAGTAACTTAAAAAGAAATAAAGAGTGCAGAAATTTAGGTGGGTATTTGCTTGGATTCCAAGCTCAGGTGTTTCTCTGTTAAGAGAGAAAGTAGGTGTAATAAATGATTGATTGTGTCCCCAAAATGGGGAAATATCTCCCTATTTATAGGGTTGTTGGAAGGTGTGTCCCTTTCTAGGTCACTTGACCTAGATTTTAGTGGGCTGCGTTGTTTCACGACGTCCTTGAAAATTGGGCCCTTGAAGGCCGCAATTTCAGAAGAAATCTGAAGGGGATACGTGTCAGATGGATATTGGGCCACTTGGACCAGTCTGGGTTTGACACGTGGTCTTCTCTCATTGGTCCACATGTCTAGGGTATTTTTACCCTAACATTTGCCCCTCACAAGGGTCACGTGGTTGCCACGTGACCCTGTGACACGTGTCTGTCTTAGAGAGATGAACAGTGAAAACGGCTAGTAAAATCTGGAGTATGACGGGGATGCCCCCGTTTCACCCCTCTATAAATAGGAGTTTACCCCCCCTCCATTCTCTCACTATTTTCTTTACTTTGACTTTCTAGAGAGAGAAAGAGAGATTCTTAGAGAGAGATACTCTAATCTCGTCTGCATCAGATTCTCAAGATTTCCGTGTGCTCACTTTTACAACACCCGGAGACCCGTTTGTAGCAGTTTTAAGAGTTTTCAGAACTAAAGTAAGGTAACCGCCTGTACCCTTTTTTAGCTTTTCCTTCAATTCAATTTGTATACATTCTTTTTTACGTTTGTATACATATTCTTTAAAAATAAAATGAGTTCTCAATCTACACACTCGGCACTGCCTAGGAAATTTAGCCTGTCTCCCGGAACGGCTGAATCTAGAAGAGGGGTGTCTTTTCTGGACTGTCGGAACTGTTGTACTCATCCCCGAATTCCTCCTTCTCCGTGTCTATGTAGGACATAATGGCTAGAGTTAAACAAACAACTACTAAGCCTAGAAGCCGGCGCGCTATGGAAGTGACCGCCGATGAGGTTGTTCTGGATGAGGAACAAGAGGAATCGGAGAGAGAAGTGGTTCCGATGATGAGGCTCCTTCCTCCTTCAGCAGCTCAAGAGTGAGGGAGGTAGAAGGTGAGGAAGCCGCCTCCTCCCATGGATCAGGTGAGGAGGCAGGCGGCAACGATGCTGCCGAAAGATCAGGGGGCGAAGCATCTGGCTCCGATCAGAACAATTTTGCGGCTGACTATCAGCAGCTAGCAAAGACTTCAGCTAACCCTGACCCGAAGAAGATAAGGATGCTTCCGGGTGACATAGCCTTACCGAAGAGTGGCTTTAAGGCTTTCAAAGAGAAACACCCCCTTGGAAAGGGGTGGGATATTATAGTTCCGCCTGGGGATGCGGTTATGGCCTGGGAGGACAACATTGAGAATCCAGAAAACTACTTTTTTGCTATGAGGCGGTAGTAGAAGCCGGCCTCCGATTCCCCCCTCCATACTAGGATTAGGAAAATCCTCAAGGGGTATGATCTGGGTATCTAGCAGCTCACCCCAAAATCGTGGGTGAACATTATGAGTTACATTGACGCCTGCGAGCTCCAGAATATAGCCCCCAGCTTTTCCGCCTTCGCTCATAGGCACTATCTGAGCAAGGCCCCAGGCGGTCATGGGGCGTGGTATACTCTTTACCACTTTGCCCCAATATCTAATTACCTTGGACAACGTGTCCAAATGGTCCTGGTGGAAGGAGAAGTATTATCTGATCTCCTCCCCTACACCGAGACACAACTAGGCACTGCGTCTGTATAATAAGGAACCGGCTCTCCTAGGTAGAAAATGTCCTCTTCCGGCACTCTCTTCTAGAGCCCGGAAGCAAATAATGGACCCGAGTTTCTTCGAGACCACAATTGAGCCCTTAGAGGATGGTACTCATATTATTGTGCCAAAGAACTGGATTCCCCATCCGGACTTCTTCAAGGATGAAAGATTCATGTCCGCCTGCGGGTTAAGCACCATGTTTCAGATCCATTTTGCATTCGACAATTTTGTTGTTTTTTGTTTTTGTACTTCAACTTTTTATAATTTTAACTAACTCCCCGTTTGCCCCTTGCAGCCGACGCTTTGAAGATGGTAGATCCGGAGAAGACCCTGGCTAAATCTGTTGTGCAGCTGCGCAAAGAGAGCGCGCTCTCCAAGAGAGCAGCCGTTGAGGCCAAGAAAGGCGGGGTGTGACCGCCTGACCTGCCTTGTTTTCTTTAAATTTCTTTTAAGTGCTTTTGGCGGCTAGGAACTTTTGATCCTCTATTTGCAGGATGCCAGTAAACGCGTTCCACGCTCCATCTCCAAGCTTTTCAAAAGACAAGGGGATGAACTCGAAAAAACTCCGACTTCCAAGGCCGCAAAGAAGAATCCTTCCCAGTAAACTTCTTCTGCTAATCCGAATTGTCCTACGACC